CTAAAGCAGTAATGCTTTGTAACCTGATGGGCCATAATTTGTGGGTGGATATCAGGGCAATGTAAATACCCTTGTACTAGATAACCTACACACTTGTACCTTCTGTGTTTGTCTGTGCTGAATCATTTTTTCCTTGGGATGCTCTTTACCATATAGTTTGAAACATGACTCCTGTAAGATTCTATATCTCTGGGATGTTCAAATTGCCTCTGGGTGGCCCTTCTCATTTGCATGGACATTGGTAATATCTTTAATTTGGTAGGAAGGGGCTGTGAGGCAGCAAGGAGTAGTTGAAACAATGTTTTATAAAGTCAACAGGCATAGACAAAAGTGTTTGATTGGCTAGTTTTTAACCTATCAAAACTCATTATGTCATTTGTAAAATAATAGTAATAAAATAATACAGTTCAAACATCCCAAATTCAAAAAATCAGAGTCTGAAATGCTCCAGAATTACATCATTTTTGAATAACCACATGACGCTCAAAAGAACATTTCAGATTTTAGATTTTAGGATTTGGAACGCTCCAGCAATAAATAAGTATAATGTGACTATTTCAAACTCTGAAAGATTCTGAAATCTGAATTCTGGTCCCATCCATTTTATGTAGGGGTTGCTCAACCTACATTTTAGGGCTGTTATAAGGATTATTGATATACATATTGAGTGACACAGACTCACTCAAAGACATAGACATTGTGTCAAAATCTTCAAGGTATAGAGTGCACATGGAATATAATATTTTCCATGTGAATCAATTGCGTTTTTCTCTGAAATATATAAGCCTTGTATATGTCTTTGAAAATAAAATGCCTAAAACATTCTCTTTTGGTTTCCATGACACCACGTACTCTTATTTTATGTTACGTTTTGGGTTGCACCCTTATCGTAGTTGGCTTTTCCCAAAATTGGCTCCTCAGGAGAGTTTACTTTTTAGCTCTACGTTTACAATATTTATACTTCCTCTCCAGGTGATTTCATACATTCTATATATTTTGTATATTGATGACCCTCAATTTACATATCTAAATCAAAACTCTCTCCTGAGGCCAACCTTACCTATCCACTTTCCTGTTTGAGATCTGTACCTGTATGCCTCAAAAGGCATCTCAAATTTAGCGTTTTCAAAAGAAAATCATTAATTTTCTTCTGCCCTCACCTGTTTATGTACTAGTATATCCTATTACTATTAATGCTGTCCAAATTTACTAGATTCTCAAACGAGAAGCCTAGGAGTAGACTCTGATTTCTCTCTCTACCTTGCTACTCACATTTAGTCCATCAGTAAGTACAGTTGATTCTACCTGGAAAATATATCCTACTGTGACCACTTCTCTCCATATCCATTGTCACCAATCATAGAGAAGCCACCGTCACTTCTTGCTAGATTATTACCAGTTTCCTTATAAGATTTCTCCAATTGATTATCCAGAAAAATGGGAAGCCAGTTAATCCTTTCTAAAATTAATCTGTGTCAGTCATTTGCTTAAATCTCAATGGCTTTCTGTTGTGCTTAACATTAAAATTCTTTTTTTTTTTCTTAAGAAACAGTCTCACTCTCTCACCCTATGCTGGAGTGAAGTGGTGGTACAATCTTGGCTCACTGCAAGCTCTGGCTCCTGGGTTCAAGTGATTCTTCTGCCTCAGCCTTCCATGTAGCTGGGATTACAGGTGTGCACCACCACATCTGGCCAATTTTTGTATTTTTAGTAGAGATGGGGATTCACCATGTTTGTCTCTCTGGTCTTGAACTCTTGGCCTCAAGTGATCCAGCCGCCTTGACCTCCCAAAATTCTGGGATTGTAGGCATGAGCCACTGCACCCGGCCAACATCAAAATTCTTTATAAGAGCCTACAACATCTTACGTGGCCTGGACCGTAATTGTCTTTCCATTTTCGTCTTGTATCACCATTCCTCCCAAGTTCTTCATATTCTGGGCACATTTTTTTATATGACTGGCTTTTTTTTTCATTCTTCTATTTTTTTTTTTTTTTTGCCTTTTGTTAAAGTTTAGGGGTACATGTGTAGGTTTGTTACATAGATAAACTTGTGTCATGGGGATTTGTTGTACATATTATTTCGTCACCCAGGTATGAAGCCAAGTATCCACTAGTTATTTTTTCTGACCCTCTCTCTCCTCCCACCCACCAATGGGCCCCAGTGAATGTTGTTGCCCTCTAAGTGCCCATGTGTTCTCATCATTCATCTCTGACTTATAAGTGAGAACATGTAGTATTTGGTTTTCTGTCCCTGTTTTAATTTGTTAAGGTTAATGGCCTCTAGCTCCATCCATGTCCCTTCCAGAAACATGATCTTATTTTTTATGGCTGCATAGTATTCCATGGTATATATTTACCACGCTTTCTTTATCCAGTATATCATTGATGGGCATTTAGGTCAATTTCGTGTTTTTGCTATTGTGAATGTTGTTACAATGAAAAAATGTATGCATGTTTCTTTATAATAGAATGATTTATATTTCTTTGAGTATATACCCAGTAATGAGATTGCTGGGTTTAACGGTATTTCTGCAGTGGGAATGTAAATTAATTCAACCATCATGGAAGACAGTGTAGTGATTGTTCAAAGATCTAAAGATAGAAATACTATTTGATCCTTATTTTTATTTCCATTCATCAGCTTTCAGCTAAAAGTTACCCTTTAGAATACCAATATGTAAGGCACACAAGTATAGGGAGCTTGTATACTTTGCTCACTCTTGAATATCCAATTCTGAGACTAGAATTAAAGCATATGTATACCATAAATATTTGTTAAGTGAGTTAATAAATAGATGGGGCATGATAGGTGCTTGATGAAAGATGATGATACTTATAAATGCATATTATTTTACTTCTTTGTCACATTAGTCTCTTCCACTAAATAGTGAAATTTTTGTTGTTAAATGAAATAAGTAACAAATTTAGCATAACTTCAAAAGGCAATATTTTAGTGTTTTAGTATGTATATTATATCTCATATGTAGGGCTTTCATAAAACAAATGAATAAAATGCATGGGATTGATATGTCAGCTACACAAGCTTGATGGGATCAAAATGATTGTTTTCTCACATCACTTTGATGTTCTTACCTAAGAAAATGAGTCCTGTTTTGTTATTTGTTTGCTCACTAGAATTCTGATTTAATAAGAAATTGTACTTTTTTTTTAAACTTCAGATTTTTCTTTTTGTCTGCGGTAGAATTCACATTACCGTGAGAATAATTATTTTAGGTCTGAGGAAATTGAAAGAAAATTTGGTAATATTCAGGAGAAAACTAACATTAGTCTTTATTTCTTCTCCCTTGTCCACAATCCCAACTTTTGTGCTAAAACTGTTTTTTTCTGTATGTTTCCAAATGTCTCGTTATTGGATAAAATTTTTAAAATATAAGTAGTTGGTGCTGTACAGAGGAAGACTTTCTCTGTTGCCATAGAAAACAGTACAAGGAAATAGTGAAAATGATGATAGGAGTGATTAGAAATGTGATTCAAGTTACATTCATTTTGTGTCTGGGTTGGACTTTTTGTAGATTTAATGAGCTTTCAGATCATTAGAGTTCTTGTAAAAGTGTGACATTTACATACATTCCTGCAGAAACATCACCCGTTTTTGAAAGTCAGTGCTTAGGAAGTTAGTAACTTTAAAATAATTTGAGATCCTTGGCTGGCAGAGTTGATAACAAAATAAGTCTCTTACACAATCCCCTTAAGCAATCAAACTGCTAATTTGCCAGTTCTCTTTTACAAATTATGTTAGAATTTGCCATAGAAAACTTGGAACAAATTTTCTTTCTTCCCAGGAATTTAAATTGAAATAGATGATGACATTCATAGCTATCCTAAACTTCTACCTGGCAGAATAGTTACAAACATACATCCTTTTAGCCCTTTGAGGCTTAGTGATGTGGAATTTTTTTGGATCGGGGCTGGAGGACTGATTACTGTGAATTTTATTACAAGACTCTGTAATTACTTTGAAGACTCTCTGGAGGACCAAGTGAGTTGCCAGAGAATTTTCTGTTCTCACCACCTAGCCACAGAATGCCCTTGAAAATTTAATAACAGAAAAGTCGTTTTAAATATATATAGCCCAATTTAATTTATAAATCATTTATGTAGTTGATATGTTATATTGATTCCCATAGGGACAGCCTAGCACATAGTATCCCCATTTTTCAGGTGAGCAAATTCTGGAACTGAGAAGTTAAACAGTTTACTACTACTTCTTGATAGAAGAACAGGGATTAAAATGTGAATATTCTTTTTTCTAAAAGTTGGTGCTAATTTCACTGTTTCTTGCGCCTATTTGGGGAACATTTTACTCTCTAATATCCTAACCTTTTCCTTTCTCTTCTACAGTACATTTACCATGAAACACCTACTTTTCCCCGTTTGTTTTTGTTATATCTTCTACATTAATTCAACACAGCACTCATTTATTCCAGGGAAGATTGTTCAACTTGCTTGACGTTGCCTTGGGAGAGAGAATATGTGGGGTATTTTTGAAAAGATAATTTTGTTTTTGCAATTGCACAATTAATTACATGATCAATGCCAAATACTTCAAAAGAAGAGAAAGCATAATGAAAATTTAAAAACAGTTATTCGCACTTCCATTACCGAGAGATCAATGCTGTTTAATCCACTGGGGTGCATATGTCTTGAAGTTTTCTGTTCATGGTGTAGTTTTGCTTCTAGGATGGTCTCCCACCTCTGCCTGAGAGTACAGTTCTGCCTGCCACATACAAAATTTGGTTTTGTGTATTGCAGGTGAACAAATAAAGAATATTAATCTATGCAAGACAGGGTCAAGAAGCTACATCAGCTGCTTCATCAGATCACAAAGGATGTAGGCAATGTAAAGTCAGAAAAAATTTTTGGATTTTTTTTTGGCTATCTGCATCATTAAAACGTCCTTTCTCTGCTGACATGAATCATAGAACTTCTCCAGACTAGTTACGCTTATGTTTGTTAAAGACCTTTTTTTTTTTTTCAGGTTTTGAAGATTACGGTCATATGGATCATCTAACTAAATGGTACATGGTGACACAATGGTCCTTTAGAGAATACATCTGAATTGGTGGCTAATTTCTAGATGTGCGACTCCACATAGGACATTGCTTGTTCACATCTCTCAGAACACTCCTGAATTTTCCCCACCATGCTATCTTTATTAGCTTGAACTCCTTTCCTAAAATGGTCCTTCTGTTGATCCTGTCAGTCTTACTTTTGAAAGAAGATGTCCGTGGGAGTGCACAGTCCAGTGAGAGGAGGGTGGTGGCTCACATGCCAGGTGACATCATTATCGGAGCTCTCTTTTCCGTTCATCACCAGCCTACTGTGGACAAAGTTCATGAGAGGAAGTGTGGGGCGGTCCGTGAACAGTATGGCATTCAGAGAGTGGAGGCCATGCTGCATACCCTGGAAAGAATCAATTCAGACCCCACACTCTTGCCCAACATCACACTGGGCTGTGAGATAAGGGATTCCTGCTGGCATTCGGCTGTGGCCCTAGAGCAGAGCATTGAGTTCATAAGAGATTCCCTCATTTCTTCAGAAGAGGAAGAGGGCTTGGTACGCTGTGTGGATGGCTCTTCCTCTTCCTTCCGCTCCAAGAAGCCCATAGTAGGGGTCATTGGGCCTGGCTCCAGTTCTGTAGCCATTCAGGTCCAGAACTTGCTCCAGCTTTTCAACATACCTCAGATTGCTTACTCGGCAACCAGCATGGATCTGAGTGACAAGACTCTGTTCAAGTATTTCATGAGGGTTGTGCCTTCAGATGCTCAGCAGGCAAGGGCCATGGTGGACATAGTGAAGAGGTACAACTGGACCTATGTATCAGCTGTGCACACAGAAGGTAAGCTTCCTTTACATACATTGAATATATGTTATGCACTCAACAGTTAAACTTTCAGGTTTGGAAAGACTAATCTATTCTTAATTATTTTAGATATTTTGAATTGTCCCAGTTATTACGTAAGATAGGAAGGGACTGGATGGCAGATATCTAGAGAGGCATAGACTTAAGCTATAGAAGGGTGTATATGGCCAACATTTGGTGAAATCAAATTTTGTTTTAAATTATGAATTTCATTATTTACTGTTGCTATATTGATGCTATATCGTACTTCTGCTATGATTTCTTCCATATTCGTTACTAGAGATTTTTAAGTCTCTATATCTTTATTGAATGCCTCACATTTTTGGCATTTCAAGATTGTTCTAGAAGCCTATTGTTTCTAATAGTTAAAGCTAGGTACACGTAAATACACATAGGACTGAAGGTAGTAGCCAGTTCTTGCCTAGGTGTGTTGTTATAGAGAATTCCCAAAAAGTTTACTCTTACATCAGGTTTTCAGAAGAATATATGGTCAAATCCAAAATGGAAATAAGAATAAATTAATTTTATCCTTGTATGGGACATATTTGAGAAGTATAATTTTAAATAATTCAACATATTTGCTTTAAAATTTATTGCTTCTTTATGCTCCAAGAATAGTGAGGAGAGAAAATATTGACTGATGATTTATAACAGTGAATAATAAGTAGCCCTTTGTTTTTTATGGTGTATTAAAAATGCTTTGTATACACGATTTGTTAGCTCTTGACCAAGGCTGTTTGGAAAAGTTTTGTTTTGACCTACACAGGTTGTGACCCAAAGAGGGAGACTCACTTGTTAGGCAATACATCTAGAAAAACAAAATGTGTATATTAAACACTATAGAATATTGAAGATACTAAATACCTTTTATAAATTATTGAATTATTATATTTGTTGAGATTTTAAAAGTCTGCAATAACATATCAATGTAGTTCAAATATTTCAGTCCAGTACCATGTAGAATTAAGTTACTTACCCCACTTCAGAGGTTAGGAATGTATTTATGCAACACATATTATTGTGTGCAAATATGTATGCAAAGCTCTTTGACAATCCTGTGAAGGATAGGTGTTTGTTTTCTATATCACAGACTTCAGTGGGCTTGCAATCTGGCAAAGGAGAGGAGGCATGCAAAAATACATATATAACCATAATTCAAGATGACACAATGTTACAAATCTGAGTCTAAAGAAAATTGATGGAGAAAAAAATCACCTCCTGTTCTGTGGTTATGGGGGTCATGGTGGGAATCTTACAGAAGAAAATGGAATTTGACAATTGAAATTTAACAAGAATAATACTGACAATTGGTGAAAATTAGCAGGGATGGCTTTCAGTGAAAAGCATAAGAAAATATGTGAAAAAGTAAAAATGTGTTTGAAAGGCCAATTATAAGGATATGTTTTGGTTTGCCTCAAATAAATCATACATTTTATTAGGGACTTCCTTCTAGCTTCAGAAGAGCAGGGCTTGGTCACTATGTGACAAATGCTAATTTGATTGTGCTCCAAGGGAAACTCTTAGCCATGACCCTTGGCTTTTACTAGTTTAAACTGTTGCTTTATCCTGAATTTATCTCAATGGCAATCTAATTACCTAACAAAATAAGTTATGATGCATTCACACAATGCATTATCATGTAGCTATTAAAATAAATGAGGCACTCTATTAGGTAATGACTACAATCTCTAAGATCGTCTTAGGGGGAAAAAAACAAGGCGCAATTCTGTATATTTGACATTTTATTTTTTCTAAAAGGAGTTTTTATACAAACAATTTGATTAGATATTCATAGAATTATTCTCAGAGAAGAGCAAAATTACGAGTTGCTGCTTCTGAGAGGAAATCTAAGTTAAGAAATAAGGTGGAATATTTTAATGTACACTTTTTATATGCATACACTTTAAACTCTATATTAAATATATAATTTACCTCCTGAAATATAACAATTACATGAAAACATTCTATTTGTGGGCAAACAAAAGACAATAGAAATTGCATTGCCAAATTCAGGCAAAACATTTAGGTTGTACTACCACGATTCAGGAGAGAGCAAACCTTGGAATTGAACATTCAAAGGCTGGAAGAAATACTCCTTGGCTTACTGTTCATGTGGTTGTGTCAAGAAATGTTTATCTTGCATTGATCCCAAGCAAGTATGTGGATAATGAGGTTATGTTGTATTAAGTTTTATGATTTATCTGTATAAGAATGGCATGGTAGGAATTTTCACAAGGTGAAACTCACCTCTGGGATCAGAAAAGTGAGAGTCAAACAGGATACAGCTCTGTTGGCTACCATGGAAACTCTCCAAGGTGATGCTTGGTTTTTGCAGATTGGTTTTCCAGAAATTCTTGGTGGGATCTCCCATGAAATGAGTGTCGGTTATCATTCAGTCTTTTTTTCTGTTTGGGTTGAAGTGATTTTCTCTAGCATTAGGAGAATTAATCCTAGTATCTGATAATTTATCCTTATGTTCTTATAATTATTCTCCTTTGTTGAGTTAATACTCTTTTTCCTGAAGAGTGTGGAAATTTCCAAATGCTTTCACATGAACCATTAAGGTCTATGAAAAGATGTAGTCCTATTTTTAAAAAAAGTTTATCATTCTAATTGCCTATGTATTTTATGCTTAAACCTGACCATACTGTGTCACCAGTTCCACAAGATGTCCCTTCAAGAAAGTGTATGTTATCGCAGAATTCCAGAGGAGTGTACAAGGAAAACTGGGTTTCAGCTTCAGTGTTAATCTCTTACACTTGCTATTTCCTGTCATTTATGGTTTTAGTAGGCTGTGTGACTGGGTATTTACTGTGGCTTATTCTATTACACTGAAATTATGCCTAGAATTTCCAGGCAAAGAAATTCATAGTATAAAACAGAAGAAGGAGAAAAGAAAGCATTTTTAAAGAGCAGATCAAACTAGCTCTTCAGCTGGACAGAGGAAAGGAATACGCAATGACTCAGAAGAAAAATAAATCACTTTTTTTAAAGGAGTCACAACTCTGTCTGCACTAAGGAAATGTAAGGGGTCCTTTGTCTTAGTACTTTTGCAAACCTTGGTACATGTGCCCATGATGACACAGGATTGATGGTGCTCGCGTGTGTAACAGTGTGGCAGATTGCATTGATGACTTCCACTAATGTTGAATGGTGCCCCTATATTCATATCATTTGCTTTTGACTTGATAATTCCCCTTCACTTTCATGTAGCACTGGCCATCTGACTACTTTGACCAACAGCACTTGGTTGATGTGAAAACTGTCTTCCTAATTTGTGTTGGAACCCTATCATCACCCTGTGAAGGATGAGAGCACCCAGGTTTTCCAAATGAGTGTATCTTAAACCACTTGACCTCAAACATGTCTTTTTGAAGGCAACAAAATTGTCTTCCTGACCCACAGCTAATTGCAATCACATAATTAAGCCCAGCCGAAACCCTCAACATTACCTAGCTGACTACTATTGTGAGCAATAAAAAAATGCCTTCAGGATGGAGTCCATTATAAACATATTCATCCCTCTCACTCTAGTCTCCAATCCCCCTCCTCTCAAATAAGATACCACTTCTTAAACTTCCAAAGCAAAATGAAATAAATTAACATGCATTAATATTCTTGAAATTTGAATATGAAATAAAACAATAAATGCTGTGGGTAAGAAGGAATATTTAAAATGCTTTGCCCAAACTCCTGTGGCCAGAAATGTGATAGTTGCCTTAAAGTCTGAATGTTTTAAATAGTTAAGCACTTGCACATATTTTATTATTATATTCTTTACCTTGATCTAGTTCAATGTTATTGAGAAAAGTAATTATCATATTGCATTTTTTACAAAAAAATCCATGTATATTGTACTTTTTGGGTGATTGACAGGATTTCACACTTCACTAGTTTTCCTGACTTTAGTTGAAAATCTACAGTATATCCACAGGGCCTGTTAGAGTGCCCAGCATATAATAAGTGCTCAAAGACTATCTGCTGAATAGAGGGATTTGTGTTAGCATAGTACCTAGCTCAATATTTATGAATATGTAGTATGTGAATAAATAGCAGCTACTTGTAAGTTTTTAGTTTTGCTTCTTTATAAAAATGAGATGTCTCCAGATTTTTTAATGATTGCCATTCTAACTGGTGTGAGATGGTATCTCAATGTAGTTTTGATTTGCATTTATCTAATGACCAGCGATGATGAGCATTTTTTCATATGTTTGTGGGCCTCATATATGGCTTCTTTTGTAAAGTGTCTTTCATATCCTTTGCCCACTTTTGAATGGGCTTGTTAGTTTTTTTCTTGTAAATCTGTTTTAGTTCTTTGTAAATTCTGGCTATCAGCCCTTTGTCAGATGGGTAGACTGGACAGGGAAGATGTGGCACATATATACCATGGAATATTATGCAGCCATCAAAAACGATGAGTTCGTGTTCTTTGTAGGGACATGGATGAACCTGGAAACCATCATTCTCAGCAAACTGACACAAGAACAGAAAATCAAACACCACATGTTCTCACTCATAGATGGGTGTTGAACAATGAGAACACATGGACAGAGGGAGGGGAGCATCACACACTGGGGTCTGTTGAGGGGAAATAAGGGAGGGACACTGGGGGGTGGGGAGTTAGGGAGAGAGAGCATGGGGAGAAATACCAGATATAGGTGAAGGGGAGGAAGGCAGCAAATCATTCTGCCACGTGTGTACCTATGCAACAATCTTGCACGTTCTTCACATGTACCCCAAAACCTAATATGCAAAAAAAAAAAATGAGGTGTCAAAATGACTCCCTTGATTAACTATAAAATCTTGTTCATACTACACTCCATTTTTTGTTTTCACTTTTTCTTGAATTTTTGATTCTGTCTAACAACATAGGAATGTTAACTTGTTATAGCAAACAAACAAACAAAAAACATATCAGTGATGTTCTGGGGAGAAAAATGTACCATCAGTTATTTACTTAAACATGTGTTCATAGT